AAATCTGCTTCTGATGAAGAACTGATTAACTAATTGAAAAAGTCAGCGTAGAACCTCACACACAGGTGCATCGACTCAAGTTACCACACTTCATAGTAGTATGCAAACAACAGGTGGATAGGAAAGGAGGGATATCAAAGTAGACAAGGTTGTGTGAGAGAAAAAACAATTCGAAGATAAAGGTTGGTGCAAGTATTCAGGCTTTAAGTGTTAAGGAGTGACTACTTCTGCACCCCTTTGACCAATTTTCAGCCATATTTCCTATAGTCCTCAACTACTGATCCCTTTCGTCTCTTGGACCCCAATTGAGATGAAGAAAAACACTTTAAAAAAGTGTCGCACACACCAGTTGGAGAAACTTTACATATTTTGTATTGACAATGGGTTATAAGGCTGGGATATGGAATATTCACATCAGAGAAGGCAAAAACAAGAGTGGTAGTGATTATATCAGGGCACTATTCTTGAACCATTACTGTTCCTTTCTTATGTCAATGAAATGATGAAGATGCCCGAGTTATCATCATTACTATTTGTTGGTGATGTCACAATATGAGGGATCGTTTGTGCTGATGATGAAAGGTGAGTATTCTAAGCATAACTTGGTGAACTGGATGAGTGGTCTAAATGATGAAGCCTGAAAATAATTCCCAGTAAATGTCCATTGATATATGTTGAGAGTGAATCCTCTGGCGAGTGCTTAATGAATGGCCAACCAACGTCCCGAGTTTTGGAAAAAAGACTTACAGGTTATCGTCAGTTAAAACTTGACGACAAATGTGAATTATAATACCTTTTCAGCTATAGCGTTCTGCATGCTTTGGTTACTTCGCAAAACGTTCAAATATTTTGGTGAAGATATATTTAGTATTTTATCCCCCATTTATTCAAGACCTCATTTAGAGGCGGCTAGTCTAGAGGGTTGCTACCAAACCAGTAACAGGTCTCAGCCACCTTCGCCTTGAAGAGCGATTGGCAAGACTAAACCTTCTTCCGTTATCTTAGCAAAATAGGTGATTTATTTAGTTCTTCTGCATCTTATTTAATGACCTGTGTATTTGTTCACTTGATGTACGTACTCGTTCTACGACTTCTTACCCTAAATACCATCGGAAAAGATCCCAAATCTGTGATTTAATCTTCTTGAAGTGAAGTACCATTTCTCCCACAGAGTGACCAACGACTGAAAATCGCTACAAGACCAATTGACAGCAACTTCTTAGGTGGACACATTCAAGAGAAAACTGAATCTTCATAGAGGTAAATACTGCAATGATTAATATAGGCCAGTAGCCTACAATCCTTTTCATTGAAGATTACTGACTTTCACTAACATTCAATAAGTTTTTGTGATCATAAGCCCCTATTTGTGACTGTGTAAGCTCTTGAGTAAAAGTGATGTTTGATGTCAGATACTCATAAAACCCGTCAGCAGATCACTGCACTGACAGGATGATTTTGAACGTAACAGCATTACTGTTTGTTCACATTTTTGGTAAAGCGACTGACATTTCAATTGCCCCTGTAGTGCACTTTCCTGGCACTAAAATGCGAGCAGGCTTCGACACCATTTTGCGCTCCCTTTGTACTGGTTAGCACGCACGCCCTCAAAGTCCCTAGCTCACACATATTATCCAGATAAGTTGGATAAACTTTTTCGGTAGCAGTCACTCTCACATTTATTCTATTTAAACACGTTGTTCTTTCAAGCTTACTCCAAAATAACAGTCCTTTGGTTTGTTTCGTTATCATTACTTACAAGTTAGGTGAAGTACTGACTCAGCAGGTACTACAGCACATCAAGTTTAGTAGAGCTGGTCAAGCATTACGCTATAATAACACATGCGGTCCCCTACATTCGTATTTTTGGAAGACAGAAAATCTTTTACGATGAATTTAATGAGCAGAAGGAAAAACTTATCAGAAGTGTTAAGGTAATTCACATAAAAAAGTATGTTCCAAAATGCATCCGTCTAAGCAAGGTTTATGTACTGTTAGGGTAATTTACTGTAGTCCACTTTCCTTTGCAAATGACTTCATGATAACCAACACGCATGAATGGAGCAAAAGCAACAGATGCCCAGTAGTTGGGGATCTGAATGCTTCACAAATAAACTCGACGGAGCTAACAGTCTTAGCATCGGACAGCTCCTTCGAAAATGATTGGCTGTTAACGGTGCTAGAATCTGCTTTAGTTCAAACCTAACTCATTCAACACGATGCTATTCTGAATAAAAGCTATCGTTGTTAGATTCAGTTTTAGCCCACCAATGTGAATATATCATAGATCTACGATACTTCTCCTCGTTAGCTAGCAGTAATCATGCAGTACTAAGTTTCGGTTCTCGAACACATGAGTTTCCTTTCGACACTGCTTTTCCTAGACTTAATACGTGGCGAGCTAACATTTTAAGTATGAGGGATTGTGCAGTCAATAAGGATTGGACTATCGAAAAGGATAGGTTTAGAACTCTACTTGAAGAAGTAACGTTGCCATTTATTCTGTGGTCGACTCCAGGAAGGCCTTCAAATCGTCCTCTGCAAAGTCTGTAATCTTTGGAAAACTTTGATCACACAGTGTTGAATATCCTACGAGAAACAGCTTATAAATGCTTGCCAAAACTGTCCTAAATGACTATTTGCATTCATTAGGGCTAAAAGAAAATTTCGGATTCCCTCTCTGATGACGAATGGAAAGTCCGATATTCTGGCGGAATCTAATCTGCTCAAAGCTGAACGTCCGTAGGTCATGGTGTTGAAGTGCTCAATCTTGGTGCCAGCACTGGCCCACCAATGGATAGTGTTCATAACAAAGGAGGCAGCCTTACAGTTGCTCATGAATCTTGAACCTAAAAAATCCCCGGGTCTCGATGAATTGCACACCAGACTGTCATCTCTGATAGCGGACATAGTTGCTGAGGCAGTCACTGATTTTTTAATATGCCCTATTTTAGACTTGCCTCCCTAGAGACTGGAAAGATGCCACAACCAGTCCAGTTTTAAAGACTAGTATTCGCCAGCTGGTGGTCGGCTATCGCCCTGTTAGTCTAACCAGCATAGTTAATAAGGTTTTAGAAAGAAAAGCTCGTGAGAAGGTACTAAGCCATGTTGGATCAAATAATTTTCTGGTGGCTAAGCAACACTGTTCACAGTACTGAACACTTCTGTTTAGCGAACCTCCTCATCACGAGAGAGGAATGAGCTGCAAGCCGCCAACAGATGCCGTGTTTATAGACTTTATTGAGGCATTTGACAAAGTGCCACACGTGAAATTATTAAGAAATCTCTCCTCTTTTGTGCTTGATGCTGCACTGCAAGCCTGTATTAGGGACTTTGTGTAGGATAAAAGATAAAGAGAGAGGGTTAATGCGACACATTTCAGGTGGAAACATGTAATGAGTGATTTCTCAAGGAACTTTTCTTGTTATATGTTAACGAATTAACGCAAATGTTCAACCCTTCAGTGCTCCTATTCGCCGATGGTGTGAAAGTTTTGAGTCATGCGTAGTGATGCTGGTAGATGTGCACTTAAAGCAGCGCACTGTTATGCAGCTGCAGCAAAGGACTTCCGGGTATTATGGTCCATCCACAGAGCTTTCAAAAGTTTTGATCATGATATGTTCAGAATACTCTATTCTACATACGTTATACCTCACTCGGAATACTGCATTTAGGCGGCCAGCTCACACCTAAAAAAGGATGCTGATGTGCTCGACGGGGGTTCAAAGGATAGGTACTAAGCATGTGGCAGGCCTTTCAAATCTGTTCTACGAGGAACGACTAAATCGGGCAAACTTGTTCCCGCTGTCCTATCGTAGGAAACTGGGTGATTTTATACCGCAACTCCGTATCTTTAACGATGACTTTGGTACTAAAGTGTCCTATCTTTTCTCTCCTTATAGAATGAATTATTTCCGAGGGCATCACAAGAAGATTCAAACACCGCGATTAAATCAACTTGGCGTGAATATACGTTTCTCCCATCGTGTAACCAACAACTGGTACCGCTTACCTCAGCAAGTAGTATCAGCACTTTCTGTCAATGCGTTCAAGGAGATACTAGATCCTCACAGAGATATCCTCTGCAAGGATTAACACAGGACACCTAGCTTAATATCTTTATAAATTAGCAGTGAAGCAAGCAACATAACCAAAACAAATTGAGTTTCCTGGGAAACGACTAAAAACGGAGTTTATTGAAAATGAATTTTGAGTTTCAAGATGCTTCTTAAACAAAGTGATTGGTGAGCTGTTAATAAACAATGTATCTTTATTCAGGAACAAAATAAGTGAATAAAGATGAGAAGTGTTTCTACTACAACTTTGCGTTCATACAAATTAAAATATTCGCAAAGTAGAAATCCAGGAACTGTATACGTGAACAATCGGATTGACTGGATCTCTAGTATATGTAGTGACAAACATGCAAGTAATGATTGTCAAGATAGTAAAATAGCTCGAAAATACTTTGCAAAAATAGTAATCTAAAATATCTAAAGTACAAACCACAGAACTTGTATTGCTCCAAACTTCATCAATCACAAACTTAAAAGACGTATGAGTGGAACTGAATACACAAAATAAGTCCGGAGAACTAGATCTGAGAATTCAAAACCATCAGTTTCTTTTGTTCCATCACTGATAGTGAATGTTGAAATCAATATGATTCATATTTGAATCCATGCTCATGTATCAATTCCCAACAACACTTTGCAACAATGGACACTTAATGGCCTAATCATATCAGTGGTCTGTGTAGAAGTACCCCTTCGGCAATTAAAACCAACAGGTGAACTTATCAGTGAGGGTACGGCGTAAATTTACACTCCAGATTAATCTAGGGTGAGCACATTCTAAAACATCAAGTTAGCCCCCATTCATGAATTGCATCCAGAAACTGTAGTTCGGACATCCCATAAAAATAAAAAGAAGATATAAAACCATTGAAAATGTTGAGTTTAGTTACATAAGCATACGGACTATTAGAGATAAACACTTACTGTAGCAGTTGTTTTCAGCGGTTTTTGGACTTAAGGAACCTCTTTCAGAGTCATAAGCCATCTCTCGAAAGTTGTGTCTTGCTGTCTGCATGTCGTTTACATATCTCTGAGGTGTATCTGGTGGGTATCCAGTTTTATCTCTCGACTTGTGTTGTGAAGATAAGTTGTTACTAAATCCCAGAGAGTCACCACATACATTAAGGTTTTCCAACTTATTTTCCAGTGAACAATTTGAAAGGTGGTTAGGCTGCATCGACAAATATTGGCATTAAGCTTTACGCCCACAAAGTTACGGAAATTAGAGATGAAATGACATTTTGTTCATCCAGCCGCTGAAATTTCATCAGGATGAAACTGAAAATAAGAACGTTCAAACAATGTATCAGATCCAGATTCATGGTTGAGGCAAAGGAGAGGTGAGCTAATAATAATCTTTGGTTAGTAAACCTCTTCGCCAGTCTAATCCTTCTCCAAATGGGTCAGTTGGTGGTATGAACACTACTTCTACTGAAATTCGATTCCAAGTGTAGAGTACTCGACGCGACAGATAGTACCCTAAGGAGACCGAGATCGCCTTTCAATTTCGTACATTCCTACTATGTGCTCTGAGGTCTCCCGACATGCATAATACCCAAAGTATCCCAACGCTGTGAGCTGCGATCACTCGGCAGTATGTTGTAGCTTTCAAAACATAACTTACATTAAATACTTGGTCATTGTGGATCAGTGTTGAGAAGAGGTGAATCTGGCCAGTATCGTAGTTGCGCACAAGAAAGCCATGTCTATGCTTTCACACTTACTCCCACTGACAGACATCAGTCACTTCTTTCACTAGTGTAATAAACTAGAGCCGAAAGTGTGAGTATACTAGAGCACTCCTTATTTGGGATCAGTCTATGGCATTGACACAGCGGAGATTCGTGGAGAATGTAGTGGCAGCCCATTTATTTACGGGAGAAAAAGCAAAGGAATTCAGAAGCATACCTAGCAGGACTACAGCCTAAACTGGATTCCAAGATGAGTCGGGAATTGATCACTACTCTTTTTCTCCGACCAACAAAAACTCTCTGATCCACGGAACTAGATTCACGGTGATTTCAGGACTTTAAAGTCAGTCTGATGACCGGGAGTGTGATATATTTCTGAAGAACTGTATTTTTATAGCATCGCAGAGTATAAGTGTCTAATAGACAAATCACGCCTCAACATCCCAATGACGAACATATTTGGTAGGCTCGAGAAATCAGTTCACTTAAGGCCTATCTCCATCACCAACTAACTTCCCACTCAACTTGACTCGGAAGCCGACTCCTGAGAACTCTACGTGCGTGACACAAAATGAAAAACCAGGCAGGTGGTGCAGTGTGGCTTGGTGAGAGCTAGTCATGATCCTTCGAGTTAGTGGTGAGTCAGGTCCCTCAAGCTATAATGATAAGTATTCCACTCTCAGGCCACGAATTTGATATGGGAGAAGCCGGTTTACAAGCATCATCAAATTCATAACTGCAGTAGAACCTAAAAGTTTGGAGCAGTGTTGGATAGTGCCGAATGAAGGATATTAAATTTTGTCATGATTTCAAGTGTCTAAAAGTTAAGAAAGGAGCAGGAAAATATTACTTCTTGATGCGTATACATTGTTCTTAGTTCAGGTCATTCCTACCGGCCATTCTTTTCCTCACACTAAAATGGCATCAAATCGGCGCAGTATTCAGTGTTTGTGTTATGAATAGTCGATATGATTGACCCGTCTGCAAAACCCGGAGTTTCGTCAGATAAACATCCACTCCAACAGCAATTCTTACGTCCTTAGCTTTATTGGCCAAGAAAAACGTGCTTCCATGATTTCAGGAAGAAGTTAGTATCCATACAATCATTTAATTCAGGTGAATATCTAAGTTCGGGCATTTCTCACTCTTCAAGCGTTACCTTGCCGAGCGATTGGGATTGACAATACTGAAAATATTTGTTGTGGAGCGAGCTATTAAAGACTGGAAGAATCGTCGTTGGACGATGGTGGATTTTACACGTAGAAATCTGTCGCATAGCACTGTTGTGGATGTTTTGCCGTTAGGTAAAGTGACCTCTTGGATTTTGTGGTTTATCCGGATTTCCGCTGTATTTATGACGGACCGGGAATCAGAGGCCAGTCATCGTGCTCAGGGTTCCGTACGCGGTAGTAGTTAGGGTACTGGCAGGGAGGTGAGCTGATTGTGAAGCTGTTCAAGAAACAGGAAATCGGGAGCAAGCCAACTGAATAATTCTAAGTTCAGTCTCCAGTATTACTTATGAAGTGTGGTTTGGAGTAAGTTGATACGTTTTGACTAAATAATGCCTAGGATTTTCTCGTCAGGATGACACTGAAAAGAGGAGAGAAAAGAAACTTGACAATGGTGTGCCGCGTAAAGCAAACCGGGAGGGGAGAAGTTCTTGTTTTTTTAAAGTCACTCGAACTATTTGTAAGCATTAATTTATGAAAATGAGGATAACCTTTCCGTCTTCCTCACATGAAATTCATGCAGGTTATTAGATAGGCAGTTTTTATTGATAAACTGAAATGGAACACTGACTGAGCATTCATAATCAAACACCTTGTGTGAGTCCATTTAGGTGAAAGGCACTTGAGATTTACGACAGCCTTACTTTGTACGTTTATGGGTACTGATATGCTTTCACTGGTGCTAAGTGCCTAGGCGAGTAACAGACTCGTCATCTGTTAGGAGCTTATTAATGACAACGAACCTGCAGTATGCATTTCATCCAGAAGTTTATTACAGATGCGAGAGAACTTGGTGGGGAAAACATTTCCTAATAATTTGGTACTGCAACGATCATTTTCGGCTAATATGTTGTGATTACGTAAATGGTGAGTAGATGTTACAACCATTTTAACTCGGCCATATGAGTGCATTTGCTTACGAATTAACTTATGGTAAAACACAAGACTCATTATAAGTCGCCTCTTCCAGATAGGTTCTAGTCCTAGCATGTTACATCTGCAGATGTAGTCTAGGCTGCAGTCAGCCCCCAGTTTTCTTAATGTAAAGTGGCATTGTACCCCTTTAATGTTTCGAAGTTGCTTATGCGACGTCCACTTAGAATAAACGGGCAGTATTCTAAAATTGAACGGATGCTCACTCTGTACAGCAGGATCCCTGATTCAGTATTATAAAAGTTACGGACGATGCATCCAAGGTGTCCATGTGGCTTAGATGTGATACAAGCTATTTTTCCAAAGAATTTCAAGTCACTGGAATATCTAAGACCAAGATCTAGCAGTTAAGAACGTCTAGGTAGCTATTGTCCAGACGTTTTAGGTTGTCGCTGCCCATACTAAACCAAACGCATTCATCAATGTTGATTTTCAGATGGGACCAGTCACACCATTTCGCAACTCCGCCCAATTCCTGTTGACCAGCAGATAGCCTACTGCCTAGTTCATGAGTGTGACATGAAAATGCAACCATAAGGTCATCAGCGTACAAGAATGTTTCCATCGCAATGAAGCGCTTGCACACACTATTAATATAAGTAATGAACAACAGGGGCCCAAGGACACTACCCTGTATTACTCCATTAGTCATGAGCCCAGGTTTAGACTGCGCGGAATTTACTTTAAAGACTTGTCTATGACCACTAAGAAATAATAGTAATAATATTTATCCCTGAATACACAGGCATACACCATGTTTACGGGTATGAATAAGTTTTTATGTAAATTGCATGTGTCGTCATGGAAGGCAAACTCAATCCCCACCTATTGTCACTAGAAGATATTAGTGCTGCATGTTCATACAATCAAACATCCCAGCTGAATAAGTATGCTGAAAATTTACAAGTTAGACAGGCGGAAGTGTTGTCGCTGCATTAACAAAAAGCCAGGTTTTTACCTCGACACTGCATATACTACCTGAAGGAAAATGAAACTTGAGGCTAATACTTCCATTTTAACAGTTTTTACTTTTTACTTGAGATATGATGAAAAATTTATGAGGGAATGTATGCAAAAATTGTCCACTTATTGTACTTCATTGGGGATCCTAGAACTGTGCATGTTAATACCACTCCACATCAGAGATTCATAATCTTGATGAATATTACGACTGAGAGCCAAAAAATATATTCACTTCTCCAACTCCGGCATACGGAAGCAGTGAACTCGTTTAAATGCGCAAAGTGGACTTCCAGGATATCTTATCTGACGTTTACACCGATCGTGACAGCCTTGCTGTTGGTAAGTGCCGGACTTTCCCCGTCACTTTTATGATGAGTAAATCCTAGACTTAGGTAATTATGAGGTTTCAGTTCAGTGAGCGTTTTTTACTTCTGCTTGTTGTAGTTAGCGACTGTAAACGCAGTTAACCTGGTTACCCGTCATCAAGGGTAGCTGCAGTCAAGGTCTGTTCATGAAATAATTAATTCTCGTTGATGACCAAGCCGACATTTAAGACGTTTTTTGTAGTCCCATTCATTTCGTGTGCTGTTCTGTCGAGTACTTAAGAACATAATTTCCATGCGGTTGTGTAGCGTAGAGTTTCTTTTTTGATTACTGTATCGGGCAGGGCAGAATGTGGCGCTAGTTTGAGGTCATAACTTGTGGAATTCTCTCCAACGCCTCGCATAAAAGGTAGGTGTAGGTGTGGAAAATGCCTCATTGTGCATTAAGAGGGCCCAGTATACGACGTCATAAAGGATGCTGTTGGTATATTAGGCAATCCAGAAAAGCTGCCAGATGATAATAAGTTAAGTAGTAACCGACTAAATTCAGAGGTCGATTCGGAGCCCTTCACTTTAGAGGGAAGTCTGTTCCACAACTGAGAGAATTTGGTGGTGAAAAAGTTTGCGCGCAAAAGGGGTTTAAACAGTTTCATTGCAAAGCTGTGAGAGTGTTTGCGCAGATCATACCGACTGTTGTATTCCAACTGAAACTCATAAGTGGCTGGTTTTAGACAGCGAGGTAAAGGGTCACGAATGCCATCCGACTGTAGCTTGTCGAAGAGCATACTTTGTGACACTTTGTGGGATGCCTCTGATATATCGAAGTATGGAACAATGACGATTTTACGTGCCTCGCAGTTACTAGAAATGAGGTTGAAGAAGTCGAAATGGCAAGTAACGAAGACCTGCTTTCAATGAAACCGTGCTGAGACTTTGCAGTGAGGTTTTCTCTAAGTAGGCAGTCAGAGATGCAGCTCTTAATCACTTTTTCCATAATTCGGGAAATCACTGGCCTTATGCTGATAGACCTGTCCGTGC